ATGATATGTTATAAATCCGCAATAGCAAAATAGAAACCTCGATAACTGTTATGACCTTTCAATTCCCGATCACTTGTTAAGAAAATCTCATCATTTGTGCCTTTGATTTATGCCTTAAGTGTTAGTATTAATATTACATTATTACTAGATGTGGTTTTAACAGCAATTATAGTTCCAACGACATAATTATGGTTTTAATGGCTTTGTCTGAATAAAAAGAAATAGCTATTGATGGCGAATACCGAGAAAAAATAGCACGAGAAACACATGTCTAGAGGTTCATTAGACCGTTTGCTATAGCACATGTGTATTTGAGGAGAACAAAAATGAGAAAAATCATATGTCATTCTATATTCGAAATATAAAAGCATTTGGGTTTGGCTACTCATACTTTTATATTTCCAATAATTAAAGAATCATACGTGATTCGTTATTCTGTAACCCCACTTAGGTAGCAACACAATATAATGAACTGTATTGTATCTTAAGAATTTCACTCTTCTATACCTTGCATTTGGTGTTCATGAGCAACCCATTTGGTTTATAAGAAATCATTATGTTATTTGTTTTTATTTGTCTGTTCCTTATTCATGATTTATCGGATGACTATTAGATGTTAATAAGGTACTCTCAAAAATATGCTAAACAATACATTTAGACAAACAGAGTATCTTATGCATTTCTAGGGGTTGGGTATAGTAGAGTGAATATATAGTTGTAACTAAGAAAACTGCATTCTTTTCCTATTTAAAAAAAATGTTGACACTTGGCAAGCAATCCAAAATTAGAATTGCATAAAATACACCGACTGTCACATGCGGTGCACTAAAGCTGATCTAATAACTCCTATGAACTCATTAAATAGTTAAATAGTAAACACAAAAGAAATCAAATTTTAAACTGTACCTGACAGATATGTTACCCCCCTATCACACCAAACTAGTCCTTACCCGTTCTTGCCAGTCCTACGAAAACGTCGTAAAACGGGCTCAATCTGGCTGTGGTCGGGAAATATGTCTGAAATAATTAGCTTCTTCGTTCTTAAACAGTCTTCAATACGTCCATCTCGTTCGCAGTTCGTTCAGGTCGCACCACGTCGGTGTGCAACGTCGTAGCAGAACGCGTCCCTTAGTCTAGAAGGTCAACATGACCTGATTACAGAACGGTATGGTCGCCATCGAATTTTGAATCGATTCAAAATTCTAAAATCACATCCCGTCTGAGAACGTTCATAAAGTTTGTAAATAGACCTTAGAAAGTTGCAGCTACGTTCATTCCGTTCGCACACAGTTTAAAACCAGTTTTGAAGAACGCAGTGGCAACTTGTTTGGTGTGATAGCTATATTTTTGCTAACTCGTTCATAAGCAGTGTTAAATACGTTCTTAATCAGTTTAATCCGTTTGCAATTAGTTCTACCTCGTTCTCAACACGTCCTCAGACAGTTCAACACGTTGTTAAAACGTCCCTAGTAGGATTGAAGTACGATGATTCCGTTCGTAGTACGTCCAGCTCGTCGTTAGTACGTTGTCACTCGTTCTAATAGAGATTTTACATTTTGGCATGCCATCTCCTGATACCTTGGTGAACTAAGTCATGTGATCATTTATATCCAATCAGAATGCATTTCTGCCACATAGTGATAGCATAGTGATCCAAAGCTAAACCAAGGTGTAGGAAGGGTTTATATTATCATATAGAAGGGGTGCACTTTTCTAATTGGCCATGGTTGACATGCATGTTTGCAAACTTGGTACTTGCATCAAGAGCTCTGACTGGCATCCTAACAAAATAAATTCATACTACACTGATGCCTGGGTCACATTTGCTCCGTTTGTTCAATATTGTATTCAATTTTGAACAAAATACTCAATCGGCATGGCGCCGTAGTGAAAATCGGAGCAATCTGCATTACTTGTACATAGTGTATACCAATAGCCCATTTTCAGCATAGCAATTTCTAAGAAGGGTTTCCAAAATGCTCCATCATGGAATACCTTGACCCTCTCTTCTTACATGATAGACACAGACATGTTTCTAGAAGATCAGATTCTTTATAACACTTGATCCAAATCTATTTGATATTCAAAATCTAAGTAAACCTCTCTTTTTGAAGAACCAACTATCTATCATATTACTCAGATTGGATTAATCAATATTCTCATACCCTCTCCAGTTTGTATGAATGAATGACCCTAAACATCATGTGAAAGACTTCTCAGAAAATGTGCCCAATATATTACTCTAAATCATACATGTCATAGGAGCTTTGAAATTTTGAAAAGTTATCTGAAACAAAAATTGTGATCATAAAAAGAGAATGGATTGCTTTCTAAAGCAAGTTTCTCATTTTTTCTATTTTTAGGAATGAATTCAAATTTTCAAAAGCTTCTATAATTTCAAATAATATATTTGGCACACTTTCTCAAAAATGCAATAGATTCTGTCTGGTGACCTTTCTAAAAGTCCAACTTTTAACTGTTTTTGAGTCACATTTTCTGAGTCACACTCCTCTGTGTATACTTTCTCCAGTATGTATGAATCGAAACTAGGTTAATTTCCCATGTGCCTAAACCAATATTTCATTGTTTTATTTACTTTCTGTGTATGTGTGTATGGACTACTATTTATATTTTTCCAGTGTATATATGAAACAATAAATTTTAACTGTGTGTATTGACAAATACCATGTACTTTCTCCAGTGTGTATGAGCAAATATTATGTACTTTCACTTTAACCAATACTCTGTACGTTCATACACACTGGAGAAAGTACATAGTATTTGTTCATACAAAATGTGTGTTCATAAACAATGGAGTACATGATATTTGTTCATACATACTGGAGAAAGTATATACACAGGCGTGTTGGTTCATATACATGTCCATACTGGAGAAAGAGCGTAATGTCTCTTCATACACATTATAGATATTGTGGTACATTAAATTCGTTCATACTCACTGGTTTAGGTACATTTTGTTCGTTCTGACACATTGATTAATTAACAACGTTAGAATGAACAACGTTTTGGTTTATGCACAATGGAGAAAGTACAAATCATTTGCTTATGCATGTTGGAGAATGGACACAAAATATTTATTCATACATGCAGGAGAAAGTACAAAAAAATTTGTTATTGAAAGTGGAGAACCCAATTATATACTTTCTCCAGTTTGTATGAATAAATTCATCAATGTGTTTCATGCAACACATTTTAATGTGTAATTTAAGGTGCTATGTAAGTTAACAGAAATGACAAAACAAAAAATGTCAAAACCATGCTGGATTCTGAAATTTTTTTGAACCAAGATAACAGAGTTCTGTTGGACCTCCAGTCAGTTTAACTAGTTCAACATATTTACATGACCGGGAACACAAGGAAATGGTCAGAATGACCATAAACATGATGAAATAACCTTTTCAGCCCTTTGAAAATGTGACTGAAAAATAGCTAAAAGTAGGTGCTCAGGAAAGGTCAATGAACAGAATCTCTTGATTTTTTCAGAAAATGTGTCTAATATATTGCTCTAAATGATACAATCTTTGAAATTTTAAAAAATTGTCTGAAACAATAATTGCTGTAGTTAAAAGGAAAATAGATCGATTTTAAATTATTTTTTTTTCATTTTTTTCTTTTTCTGAGAATGATATGAATTTTTTAAAATTGTATCATTTAGAGTAATATATTGGGCACATTTTCTGAAAAAGTCAAAAGATTCTCTTCAGTGACCTTTCCTGGGCACCTACTCTTAGCTATTTTTCAGTCACATTTTCAGAGGGCTGAAAAGGTTATTTCATCATGTTTATGGTCATTCTGACCATTTTCCTTGTGTTCCCAGTCATGTAAATGATATGTGGAACTAATTAAACTGAGTGGAGGTCCAAACAGAACTCTGTTATCTTGATTCAAAAAATTTTCAAAATCCAGCATGGTTTTGACATTTTTTGTTTTGTGATTATCCTGTTAACTTCCATAGCACCTTAATTTGTATTTCCAAGTAAGATTTTTTAGAATTGTGCCTGTTTGTGAAATTTAGTCAATAAACTAACCATAAATGTCTGCAATAATAGAGAAATCAATAGTGATTTTTTGGGCATTTTGGTAAAGCCTTTGGTTTGTAATGGGAAGATTGTCTTTATCACTAGTAGAACTGTTCTGCATGGGGTCTTTTGCACAATTGATAAATTATATACTATACTAATACATTACTATATAGATTTGCAATGTCTAGGTTTTATTCAAGTAACTGACTCCACTGAGTGTGTATTCAAATGTTGTGCTTATAAAATGTATCGACTCCTATACTACCTTTTGAATGAAAATAAACTCTTCCAACCTTAGTGCACCCATGCCATGGTAAGGACCTTAGGTTGGCATGCCAAAATGTAAAATCTCTAATTGTAGAACGTGACGACCACGAGAACATTTTGAGCATTGTCTAAGTTCTAGAGGACCTACCCGTTCGAGTACGTTCGATGAAGTTTGTAAATAGATCCCAAACGGTTCCTAGTAGGTCCAGTCCGTTCGTACACAGTTGAAGCCCGTTTTCGAGAACGTAGTGAGAACTAGTTTGGTGTGATAGTAGGATTATATGTAGTGAACTAATTATATCCACTCACTCACTGACGTGTATCAAAACACTTACCCCTACTTAAATAGTCAATACAAAAGAAATCAAGCATTCCAGATTGGAGCATGGACCATTTCCTTTCATAAGTAGGATAAATAACAGCCTTGGGCATAATGGCCCTCGGCTATTACTTATCCGAAAACCCAGCACTCATATTTTAACAATAACTTAAGTTTATATACGTTACAGAGAAAAATGTAACCACGATGACTATTTCTTCTTTATTGCGTATTGTACTTGTAACAGGCATGCGCACTTATGAAGGGCCCGCCAAGAATTAATTGTATCCATAATTGTAGTCAACTTAGGTATACATCCTAGCTTAAACGTGTTTAACTTTAATATATACTAGTAGATATTGTATTTCTAGCGTGTTCCCATGTCAAGCATAGATACCTAGCAGACCTAGAGAACAAATGCAATTTCTATGAATGTACAAGATTAGGACGCTACAAACTAACTAAGTGCCCATCGGGTCTTTCTGTCCCAAGATCACTACGCGAGGAAACTGAAAATGGGAAGCCGTCTGCTTCACCAGTCTGTAAGCAGATATCCGCTCGATGTAGGAAATCAATGGAGCAAGTCAACACGGCCATTTTAGGAAATTATACTAGTGAGTATTTTTCATTTTAAGGAAGAGACAACGGAAAACGTTTGGATCAACTCATCACGTGACGTTATTCTATTATGCACCATAAAACGATCATAAATACAACATACATCGCCTTTGTTTGGTAATATAAACTAAGAATATACATTATTCAAATCACGAGCTCTTAAATACCACGTACACTCAAATAAAGATAAAAACGTGTTTACAACAAAATATAAAAAATACATATTGTAAAGTTATTTAATTTGCGAACGGAAATACTAACTACATATCTTTGAAATGTGCTATATATATTATTGCAGTTAAGAGAGAAAGACGATGTGGTATTGATTTGTTGTGGGTAATTGATGTGAGCTGCAGCATCCCAGCAGATGACAGACAGCGTGTGAAAAACTTCGTACTAAATACGATAGATCGGTTTAAAATAAAAGGCACTAACTTTGTTCAAGTCGGGGGTGTGACGTATGATGGTGAAATTCACGACATCATGTATTTGAGTCAGACTGTTAACAAAGTTCGAACAATGCATCGGTTCACATCACGTTACGTCAGCGAGCCGAGCAAATGTAAAACAGCTACGAACATAGCCCTACAAACAATATACGAATTCTATCTTGATCCCTTGAATGGAAACAGGCCAGAATTTCCTGATATTTTGATTGTGATGACAGATGGTAGAACGTACCTCGGGAAAAAGGGGGATAATAAAAAGGCGGCTGCAGAAACGGAACAATATGCGAGACTTATACGTGAAGAGAAGGGAGTAACGACCTTCGTGGTGGGTCTACCTAACAGACAGACCGGAAAGTTCGCGGGACAGACAGAATGGCTGCAAATGGCAGGAACGGAAGACAGAGTGTTTTTGATATCTAGGTTTGAAGAGTTGAAGAACAGAGTTGATGAAATTACAAATAGTGCTTGCCCGGATGATTCATGAAACGAGTGTAAACGACCAAAGGAACATTATAACTAATTACGACTCATTAAAAATATGTCTGAGTGCAAGGAGGATTTGACCCCACAATGCAATCACGATATTCTTTCGTTTCTTTCGGTACAGTACTTAGCCCTGCGTATTAAACTCTTGAATAAACTCGGGTGTCATGATAACAAAATTTGGTTTTATTACATAACATTTTGAAACACCAAGAGTGATGAAAAATAAGCTCAAATATTCTGGATTGGTGATTATTACTTTACATACTCGGCGCGCAGATTCTAGTATATATACTTCCGAAGAAGAGGCTCTCTTTTAAGATGTGAAGTCGAACGAATGCAGAGTAATTATTTAATAACAGATTGTTGCAAAATATTAAACTTGCATTCTTGAAGTCAATCCTCCTTGGGTCGGGTGCGAGACTCCCGCGTCAATGAATTAGATTGATTCGCATAAAAGTTCTTATTATTAGGCAGCAATGGCAAAGTATTAGAGGTGTGCACCGATGGTAAATCACATAATCGATCAACGAAATATTTTAATCGATTTAATACTTGGCAAGTATCAATAAGTGATCCTCGGTTACGTTTTCTTTCAATCATGGTTACCCCCTTACAATACATTAAGTACCCGATTACATTAAGTACCCGATTACATTAAGTGCCCGATTACATTAAATGCCCGATTACATTAAGTACCCGATTACATTAAATGCCCGATTACATTACGTACCCGATTATATTTTGGTGTGCCTCTCGGAAGTATACAAACATAATGAGGATGATGGATAAAATTATCTCTCCCGAATGTGTCACAACAATCCCTATTTCCGTGTTGTTAATATTACTGTATATTCACGTATATTTATTAGATGAGCCAATAACGACGTCAAGGCTTTAAATTAATATCAAAGGCAGAATCAGATTAATAGGGAGTGACAAAATTGCATCCTGATACCCGTAGCGTTACCTTTACATGTATATTGTCATTTCAGATCAAATATGTTACATAAATCGACCTAATCTTCTGATCAGAATTTCAAATAATATTTCCTTAGCATTAACTATATTGCTTCCTGGAATCTTTAAGGTGAACAATCAGCATATTAAGCATAAAACAACACGTTTATTACGATATTTACATTTCTTAATTCACAAAATTATACTACTGTATAAGATATAAATAAATGTAAATTCAAAAGTTTTTACAGATTTAATATTTTAATATAATTCACACAATAAATATAGATAAATAAACATATATACTAAAGTTCAATAGTCGAGTCATATCAGGCAATTGTATTTCATACAGACTTATTCAACTTCTATGACTCATCAGCTTCAAATTTATAGATGTCCCAATATTTCTGACAAATGATATCCAATGGTGGTCGATTGCTTCTGTGAACAGTACACTCCAATTTAGAGACCAAGTTCCTCATTTCCAGGTCAACATCCGGGTCTTGCAAGCAATCAAAATGCATGCTGGGAAAATCGTCGAGGGATTGATCCGCCAGAATCAGTGCTGCCTTGGCGATAAAAGATGGCGCGTATTGACAGATAGCATAGTCAGTGAGGGAAAGCTCAAGGAAAAATCGAGCCACTGCCCTGGTACATCTGGATAACAAAAAAGAACTATCATGATTGAATAGTATATTAATGATATAAGGGATTAAAGTAACTTTTCAGAAAACACTTTGTAAAGAAATACGTTACTTTTCAAATAACATCTTAGGACAGAAAATTCAACTTTCTTTAAAAAAGAGGGGTCTACTCTTTTGGTATGTGCATAATGGTTTTTATTACTGTTCTGGTTGAATTTTATAATTCTTTTAATCTAACGCCAATTAAAACTACAGCGCAAAATACCTCAACTGTTCGATAGTACAATCCCCCAGTACAACCTCATTGACCTGACTAGATGTCAGGTGTTCGAGGAAATAGGCGCTTGTTGGGACGGAGAGGTCGAATTTAAGGGTCTGAAGCATTATTTTCTCCATGTGTAGCACTTGGCCGTAGTCGGATGATGCACAGGCAAAGTAGATCAGGTCGTTAATCTCGGGTGGATAAATTTCCTCCTTAAATTGAAACAGTATATTAGAGAGAAGAATAACTACATATAAATGTCATGATGAAGTAAGATTGAAACAGCCAACAGTCCAGGCGGACCGAGTTTCTTGTTCAAAACTGAATACAATTTCGAACAAAATACTCAATCGACTGGGCGCTGGCCGATGGTTCGGAGCAAATGTAAGCCAGGCATAATGCCAGATAGAAATCTCTTTGCGACGATACACACAGGCATTAACAACCAAAATGATTCTTATAGAAATGTGTTCCTGAAACATACGAGGGTTGTCACAAAAGTAATGCACTATACGCTCTAATTAACTTTTTCAATAATTGATATTTTCCCATGAGATTTTCAGTAAATGCTCCTTAGAGATTCTACAAATTGTCATTTTGACCGATAATACTGTGTTGATGTTATAATAAAATCAAGTTGGTGAGTTTGGGTAGGGTGGGGCAGGTTACTGTCACGTCAAAAGGAATAAAAATTGAAAATATGAAATAATTAATCAACAAATGCCATTTTTAAAGCTATAAGAAGTATGCTCAGAAATACATTTTAAGATGCTAAATTACTAGGAGCACATCCTAGATTTGATGGATGTATATTGCACAGTCTCCCATTTCACATTTTCTCAAAATGTTGGCTTTTGCATGTTATGTACTTTTGATGTCTTTCAGGTCGAACACTTTTGTCAATTTCTTCAACCGTGACTTGTGGAGTTTTTCCTCCCATGTTTGGAGTTTTCCGGTCATCATTTTTAAATCTCTCACTCTAACTGGTGTATACTCCTTTTATACATTCTTCATGGTAGCATAAGTTTGTGTGACTGTAAGCCAAAGTGAAGTATGAAATTTGGCCACCAAACGCAAGGCTTTCTGTTTTCAGGTTTGAGAATTGCAGCCATTTTTGCAATTTATTGACTGTGACTGAATTTGAATTTGTGACTATTGAGCTGTGGTATTATGACTATTGAGCTGTGGTATTATGACTATTGAGCTGTGGTATTATGACTATTGAGCTGTGGTATTATGACACAGCAATGCTAAATATCATTATTTGTACTTGTTGAACATCATGCTGAATAAAGTTAACAATTTCCCAAACATTTTGGTCATTTAAAAGAAAGAAATATTAATAAAATAACAATTTGGAGCTTTTCATGATTAGAAAAATTGGTACCTGCCCCGCCCACCCCTACCCCAGTGTTGCTATAGCAACCATTTTAAGACCATTTTACTTCTGGGACAACGCTCGCATGAGCATTCAGATAACAATTGATGTGTGTCAATTTATGTCAAGCTCAATCTAAACGTAATGTTAGATTGAAATGAATCGCACAAAACGAGCGATACACATTCGAAATTTGATTTTCACACTATTTCCACACATTCGCCGCTTATCGGGTACTCCATAAACATTATTTTATAGGCATGTATTTTTCTCACTATCCACGCTTTCATCCCTGGTTAAAAAGACAAACCTTGCTTGATATAATTTAACTCACGTGTTTCGCAGCTATCAGGTACGATGTGAGGCCAACAAGCTGGTAAATATTCTTAGAGATAGGAACAGCGGCAATGAATCTGTCCACTTTACTTACGTGTTTCGCAGCTATCAGGTACGATGTGAGGCCAACAAGCTGGTAAACATTCTTAGAGATAGGAACAGCGGCAATGAATCTGTCCACTTTACTTACGTGTTTCGCAGCTATCAGGTACGATGTGAGGCCAACAAGCTGGTAAATATTCTTAGAGATAGGAACAGCAGCAATGAATCTGTCCACTTTACTTACGTGTTTCGCAGCTATCAGGTACGATGTGAGACCAACAAGCTTGAAGATATTCTTAGAGATAGGAACAGCGGCAATGAATCTGTCCATTTTACTTACGTGTTTCGCAGCTATCAGGTACGATGTGAGGCCAACAAGCTGGTAAACATTCTTAGAGATAGGAACAGCGGCAATGAATCTGTCCACTTTACTTACGTGTTTCGCAGCTATCAGGTACGATGTGAGGCCAACAAGCTGGTAAACATTCTTAGAGATAGGAACAGCGGCAATGAATCTGTCCACTTTACTTACGTGTTTCGCAGCTATCAGGTACGATGTGAGGCCAACAAGCTGGTAAATATTCTTAGAGATAGGAACAGCAGCAATGAATCTGTCCACTTTACTTACGTGTTTCGCAGCTATCAGGTACGATGTGAGGCCAACAAGCTGGTAAATATTCTTAGAGATAGGAACAGCAGCAATGAATCTGTCCACTTTACTTACGTGTTTCGCAGCTATCAGGTACGATGTGAGACCAACAAGCTTGAAGATATTCTTAGAGATAGGAACAGCGGCAATGAATCTGTCCATTTTACTTACGTGTTTCGCAGCTATCAGGTACGATGTGAGACCAACAAGCTTGAAGATATTCTTAGAGATAGGAACAGCGGCAATGAATCTGTCCATTTTACTTACGTGTTTCCCAGCTATCAGGTACGATGTGAGGCCAACAAGCTGGTAAATATTTTTAGAGATAGGAACAGCAGCAATGAATCTGTCCATTTTACTTACGTGTTTCCCAGCTATCAGGTACGATGTGAGGCCAACAAGCTGGTAAATATTTTTAGAGATAGGAACAGCAGCAATGAATCTGTCCATTTTACTTACGTGTTTCCCAGCTATCAGGTACGATGTGAGACCAACAAGCTGGTAGATATTCTTAGAGATAGGAACAGAGGCAATGAATCTGTCCATCAGGTTAACTGCCAAGAATAACGTGTCAGGATAGAACTTGTAGTTGTGGTTCAATTTGATTAACCAATCGATCAACTGGCTACGCATGGCTGGTGTAATCTAAAAAGTGTTTTAGATCATTCAATTCATTATTTTACTAAAAATCATTGATTGATTGTAGATTATACATAGTCATACTCGTAGCGTAAGATTCCCATTGACATACAGGGATGTGTTAAAGCGACAGCTCGGTAGTCGTTTCAGAGTAAATTAACGCGCACCGATATCGTTGGTAAAACGAGGTGAAACCAAAGCTCCGTGTAATATGCTTTTCAAATTCAAATTTCAAATTCTATTGATTGTTAAATTTGTTAGAAGGTGGTAAATGTTTATGTTTTCAGAATATCTCAAATTTCCGGTCGAAAGGCATTCATCAAAGATTCAGTACGTTTAGTTCAAAACACTTACATTCGGTTGCCGTTCTTTATTGCCACTTTAAAGTCGATTTATTAAAATTGTTTATTCTCTTTATATTCCATAGAAATTCAATAAATACCTCCGTCTGCTTCTCGAGGCAGGCCAAGGGATGGAACTTCATCTCCATGCCTCTTTTGTGCATGTAGTTATCCGTCACATACGTTGTCAGCGCGTGATTGCTGCGTTCTCGTTCAAGCGAGACTTGAGCATGATCCGATGAGAGAGGATGACGACCAGTCCTAACTTTCATTGACAATACAGGCTCGCTATGACGTCGACTGTCCCTATAAAACGCCGGGGGGCGCTCATTGGCTCTAAAGGTCTGGACATCCAAATGAGGTCGACTGAACCTACGTGGTTTCTTGGGAGCGGCTTCAATAGGCTGAAATGTAAAAGGAAATGTCAACTTCCAGTGCGTGTAGTTCAAATTGACACCCGTGATTTATTAACAACCAATCATCAACTGAAATATGGTAAATGATCAATTTATCAAAAACTAATAACCATGTGACGAAAAGAGAGAATGTCCCTCGAATTATATCTGAAAGTACATAACTAAACGATGGATTTTTTGTAATGAAATAAAGTGAACACTTCTGGGGTCTCGGGTCTTGGACCTGTAAGCCTACGTAATATGCTTAGTTTGTTTGGAATGGAGGTACGACTGATTACCTGACTTTCTTGATCTTCAAAAGGCTCGTCGCTGTACACAGTAGGACAGACTTTTTTAGGATGAGAGCATTCTTCACCAAATGCGCATGCGCTTGTTTCAACTTCCTGTATCGTCATCAAGTTTTGCTTTCTTATCGGATCAGAGAATGAATCCTCGTGGAATGACTGATACCCCATATCTAACGACAAATCCATGTCAAGCCCCGACGCGAACTGAAAACAATAATGAGAACATCAGTAATGGTCAAAATTTAGTAAGCAAAACGATATAGCAAATGAAAAACAAAATCTTGATGTGTTTTTCAAGGATGTGCAAATGAAATAACTTAAAGTTGGATATTAGAGAGATTTCGCTCGTATCTTTAAGCAATACGTTTCGACTTATCAATCAGTTCTAATAACCATTCACCGAAAAGTGATAGTTTTGCGCATAATTCCTTGATTATTTTGTAGATTTAATAATAATATGACTTTATACAAAGTCTCTTGTAATTGCCGACCAAAAATTATTATTAAATGAGATAAGGATTTACTCATGTATACTCGACATGTTTTGCGACTATTTATGGACGTATACTGCCATGCGACAAATGATGACGTTATAGTTACCATTTCCAAAACATCACTGAAAAGAATATTTTGAATTTTTCAGAAAATGTGCCTAATATAATGCTTAAAATGATAGGAGCTTTGAAAAATTGTAAGCAAGGAAATACACATATGCCTTCATACTTTATTTTGTACCAGAAAATAACATGGGCAGGTATAGCATTTTTTCAAAAATGTTGTTTGGAAAGAATAACCGTAACTTTTTTCAGTCACATTTTCAGAGGGTTGGAAAAGCTATTTTAGCATGGTAAGGGTCATTTTGACCAAGGCCATTGTGATCCTGGCCATATAAATGATATATGGGAGTAGTCCAACTGACTAAAGATCAAAGCAGAACTCTAAAAAGTCTAAAATCCCCATGTTTTTTTTTCATTTCCTGTTGTAAAGGAGTGGTATCGATATGATGAACTTTTTGAACACACGTTTCTCTTAAAACACACGTTTCTCTTACAAAGGAAATTTTGGTTGATTTAAAAAAAGTATCTTGTTCATGAAATAAAAGGTTTATCTTGATTTTTACCTATTTTGAGGGGATTTTGTTTTCATTTTTTTAATTCTTTTTAAAAATCAACCAAAAATTCCTTTGTACAATTATAATATTGAGAGGTCTAAAAACATGTTGTATATGCTATTTTGTTCCAACAAGGTTAGGAAAGACATTTTATTTAATTCTCAAGAAGTGGTAGAAAGGAGCAAAAACAATTGCACTAAAAAATGTTAACAAAAACAGTTATACAAAACATTTCTAAATACTTTTCGCATTAAATTGTTGTCAATCAGTCAACATAACATAATATACCGTGTTTTTTACAGAATGTTTTCAATAATTGGTTTAAGAGAAAAACATTGTTGAATTCAGTTCACCATATCGAAACATATCCTTTCTGATAACTACACCGAGACCCTTGGGATACCTTATTGGAAACTATCGGTTTCATACCACCATGGTCTGAATTAAAATAATCATAAATAATTATCTCTCATTATTTATGGCACAAACTGTACTCCTAAAATAAGGAATCAGACCACAGAGCCGTAATACAAATATATGGAAGAATATAATAATATTGTACACGAATGACATTGTAAATTTTGTTTTTTTTGTGCTATAAATCTGATGCCTTTTGTATATAAGAGTTTCAGCCATGTTACTTTTTGAAAATAATATGGCAAAGCATCAACATATTAGAGGCCACATGTTATATTAGCCAAACCACAAGCAATCCAAAGCATACAAATTTCGTTTGTGTACAATATGAATGTATAATTTTCCATTTATTACGACATTGTAGTCTTTTGACTCTTATTCTTCAGTCTTATTGACAAAGAATTCATTGTTCCATTTGCATATCGTCCGCAGAATTAGAACATAAAATAAAACTATCATCTGCAGCAAAATCCGTTTTGTTACCTTTTACAATTCTGCAAATCTAAGCTGTGATCTCTTTCCGGATTCTGCGTGGTCCACTTGCGTTGACGATCTGTTCATGTATAGTGAGCGTTCGATTTACATGACGGGTTCTGAAGCCTATATCGATCGCACAAAAGAAATCGTTTCATTGGTTTACATTTCTTGTATTCCCTTATTGCCCCAAATAAGAAGTCTTTATCCAACTTATTATCACAGTTTGAAGCCATGCATTTTAATCCAATCTCTATCAATTTATGGGTTTAGCAAGCACAACTTCTCACCCATTTCCCAAGTACAAGTAAAAGCAAAATCATTGAAAACAATAACCTTGTATTCGCGAATGCAACTAACGCCTGTCGACTACTGGATTAACCTAGTGTTTAAGGTCAGGGTGCATGATGGGAAATTTTCTGCATTCCTCAATTGAGTCACATGTTATTTTTCAAACAAGAATAACTCAATGTGACTCAATTGAGGAATGCAGAAAATTTCCCAACATGCACCCTGTCCTTAACCCTAATGTGTACAACGTATTTTTTATAACACTAATGGATGGGGGGTCAGATGAACCCCTGGCGTTTCAAAAGTTGAAGAGGTACAGTAAAAGGTAAGGCCCCATATTGTAGTTCATTCACAACTCTCGAGGGGTGTAAATCTAAAAAAGTAGGTCAAATGGGGTCAAAAGTAGGTCAAAGTAACATAGGAGCTAGGTTTGATCGCTTGTTGTTTTTTTTGTTTTTTCTTTTTTTACTTTTTTTCAGTCCAAAAAACAACAACATATAATTTTGTTTAGCCAGAAAAGGGTACTAAATGTGATAGATGTATATAGTATCTACCTTCTGAGGACAAAAAACCGTTGGTAAATACCTTTTTTAAATCCAGAAATAGATAATTTGGTCGAAAAGTTGACGAAATGTAATATCGAAAAACGGGGGGATGGAAGACAAATCACAGCCCAGGACCCAAGATACTGAATAGATAATATTTTTAATAACCTCATAGAACACACCCCTGACTATAATATAGTGTAAACGTTTTGGATATTGGTTGAGTATTAGCTGAGAAAAATTGTTTTTAGTGCATCTCGGCGAAAATGCAATCTCGCGTGTTATAAATAAGTGCATTTGAGCAAGAACTTACAGCATTGACATATTTTCATAGTTTATTTTGCTTCTAATTATAGATAAGATGCCATAGAATCACAATCATGTTTGACTCAATGTTTCCTGATTTATGAAAATGATTTACGAAAAATATTTTAAATAAATAAAGCCACCCGAGATGACAGACGTTTTTTCTCTCAAAAACCAGAACCTTAAATATATTTTACTCAATTATGTAATATTTAGATGCATACATATTCTCAAGTTTGTATAATATTGAAAACTTCGTATCTCAGTTAATAAAAGTCAGATTAGCTAGTAATATGGCTTGTTTGAAAGGGTATCTTGAAGGATGGAGTAGGTCTTCATTGGGCAAAGAGCATGAGCCTGGACAATGAACGCCCGATCTTGAAGGATGGAGTAGGTCTTCATTGGGCCAAGAGCATGAGCCTGGACAATGAACGCCCGATCTTGAAGGATGGAGTAGGTCTTCATTGGGTAAAGAGCATGAGCCTGGACAATGAACGCCTGATCTTGAAGGAGGGAGTAGGTCTTCATTGGGCAAAGAGCATGAGCCTGGACAATGAACGCCCGATCTTGAAGGATGGAGTAGGTCTTCATTGGGCAAAGAGCATGAGCCTGGACAATGAACGCCCGATCTTGAAGGATGGAGTAGGTCTTCATTGGGCCAAGAGCATGAGCCTGGACAATGAACGCCCGATCTTGAAGGATGGAGTAGGTCTTCATTGGTCCAAGAGCATGAGTCTGTACAATGAATTCCCGATCTTGAAGGATGGAGTAGGTCTTCATTGGGCAAAGAGCATGAGCCTGGACAATGAACGCCCGATCTTGAAGGATGGAGTAGGTCTTCATTGGGCCAAGAGCATGAGCCTGGACAATGAACGCCCGATCTTGAAGGATGGAGTAGGTCTTCATTGGGTAAAGAGCATGAGCCTGGACAATGAACGCCTGATCTTGAAGGAGGGAGTAGGTCTTCATTGGGCAAAGAGCATGAGCCTGGACAATGAACGCCTGATCTTGAAGGAGGGAGTAGGTCTTCATTGGGTAAAGAGCATGAGCCTGGACAATGAACGCCTGATCTTGAAGGAGGGAGTAGGTCTTCATTGGGCAAAGAGCATGAGCCTGGACAATGAACGCCCGATCTTGAAGGATGGAGTAGGTCTTCATTGGGTAAAGAGCATGAGCCTGGACAATGAACGCCCGATCTTGAAGGATGGAGTAGGTCTTCATTGGGCAAAGAGCATGAGCCTGTATAATGAACGCCTGATCTTGAAGGATGGAGTAGGTCTTCATTGGGCAAAGAGCATGAGCCTGTATAATGAACGCCCGATCTTGAAGGATGGAGTAGGTCTTCATTGGTCCAAGAGCATGAGTCTAGACAATGAATTCCCGATCTTGAAGGATGCTCCAGATCGATAACGGAAAATTGCATTTTTAGAGTTCATTCACCTCCAATTATTGAATAGACGCAAATAGATAAATACCATGCCTATGATAACAATGCTATTATTTTGTAAGATACTTCATTGTTTGCTTATCCCAGCAATTAGAAAATAATAAGAAATTTGTAAACAGCAGTGATTTATATAAACTATAAGTATTAGAAGTACACTTTAATTAATCAAGACGATAATACACAATGTTCCTTGTCTGATAATTAGTAGTAGTGTAATACGATTATATTTGCGTATTGGGATATCTCTCGCTATGCATAATATGGCAACGTTTGTAATAAACTAAATCCTATATGAATAGTGAAATAGTGCAATTTCTCAAATATTGCTGTTTATTCTTTCCAAGTATCAATCAACATTTTCTCACGAAGATCTGTTTTGTTTTGTGTACGTCGATAGATACAACTTTATATAACTTTTATGGAGTATGTAAATATTTCCATATATGGCATCACGTATAAATCAATATCTTAATGAGTTTGGTAACTTAATATGTGACATTATCATGCATGTAAACATGGTTAATCAGGGTCATTTTCTCACATATTTTATTTGTAAGAATGCCTTCATTTTTGGTAACCATGTTAACATTTTCTTGTTTTACATTTCTGTTATACTGAATATTGAACAAAAATACTTTCTATGCTGCACATTTCGTGAAAATTCCTTTACATATATTTATATTAAAAAATAAAGAAATTAGAGAGATGTGCGAATGTAATGTTCAACCCTCGTTTATACGTTGGGTTTATTTCGTCAAAATGCACAAATATTCACAATACATAGTAGAATACTACAAAACCTGACTATAAATTATTCTATATATTCATTTGGATCATTTAGACTCGTAACAGTCATTCGGTTTCTCAATATTCTTGCCTGCTATATCTTTGTCAATTATTCGAAATTCATCGTCTCATTTCACGGCTTTGCATATCGACAGTCAATCATTGAATAATCTTGGACTGTTCATGGTGCCATTTGTATATTTAAAAATCTTGAGCTAATTTAATACTCATTCAAATGTCACAGTTTGCGTATAATCGCAATTCATTAGATATGTTTCCTGCATTGACTTTTAATATGTCTACATTCCTATTGGTCAATTATTGACAATATCCTCATTTGCACATTCGATGTTCACCAAAAAATGATGCCATTCATTAATTGGATAGTTTTAAAATATAGTTTTTTATCATGCTATCTATCTTATCATTGTCATTGACATCATTTGCACATTCAAAGGTCACAAAATGGCAGGCAAACATTGATTAGTTCTAGATTATTCATTATGATGCGTATCTAATACTACATATTTTGTGATAACCTCATTTGCACATTCACACAAATGACAGAGACACATTGATTAGTTATAAACTGTTCATTACGATGCGCGTTTTGTTGTCCTTATTTTGTTATGACCTCATTTGCACATTCAAAGGTCACAATAATGACAGGCAAACGTAGATTAGTTCTAGACTGTCCATTATGATGCGTATCTGATACTACATATTTTGTGATAACATCATTTGCAAATTCATACAAAGTTCTAGAATGTTCTATTTGATGCGCGTCTGGTGCTCCATATCCTGTGATAACCTCATTTGCATATTCAAAGGTCACAAAATTACAGGCTAACGTTGATTAGTACTAGACTTTTATTTTTATGCTTGTCTGATGCTCTGTCTTTGGCGATGTTCTCATTTGCGCACGCAAAGTTCACAAAATGACAGGCAAAAGTTTATAAGTTGTAGACTGTTCATTATGATGCGTCATCTTTGGCGATGACCTCATCTGCACATGCAAAGGTAGCAATAATGACAGGCAAACGTAGGTTAGTTCTAGACTGTTCATTATGATATGTGTCTGATGCTCTGTCTTTGGCGATGACCTTATTTGCATATTCAAAGGTGCCAGGCTAACGTTGAATAGTACTATTTTGATGCGTGTTTGATGCTTTATCTTTTTAATGACGTCAGTTGCGCATTCAAAGGTGAGGATATAATAGTCACATCACACACGATCTATGAAGAGCATGCAATGAATTGTGCTCCAGATATGTCGCCAACGTCAATTCTTATCTTCAGCCAAGGTTGAACCAATGTCGCCACTGTAATATAAAACATCTTCTAATATTGAGTATTCAGCTTTGATCAAAATGCAAATACGAATACGTGAAATTTGTTTTGCTTAATCCACCAACACGGTGAATACAAGTGGCACTTAACTGACCTCAACATTTACAAAGGTTCAGGTAGGTTATCGCAAACAATTTCAGACGGTAATATCTTGGATTATGACTATTTTCTGACCATAAAAGTATCTTTGATCCATTGATTTTCTCAAAGAAAAGTAGTATATACAATGATAATAATGTCGATCAGAAATATTTAGCTAGCAATAAACCCATCGACATGCTTTTTTAAAGATGTTGACCTCATTTTGACCAAAATGCAATCATTTTTACAATGTTTTATGCATTGATATTTTTTATTTTGATGTATCAAAGTTCTTGAAAAGAAAATTGAATTCCTCTCAGATTAGTGATCGCCATGTTATTTCCCCATTGAAAAACCCAATGCTATTCATTGGTTTCAGCTCATTTTGGTCATCCAAATTTAGTATCTCTAAGTCCCTGGGTAATCCACTTTTCCTTTTAGGAAATCGAACATGTCTCAAAGAACATTCTAATTTTGCATTCAACAATATAATAAAAGGTTGCATTTTTGGTGAAAATTGGGTCAACATTTTTGAAAAGGTATGTCGATTGGTTCATTGCCCCGTTAATATCACTTAGTCTGATTAACTTAATTGTCATTATATATAATTTTCTTGGACATAATGAATGGATCGAAAAAACCCGTTTTCATACTCAGAAAATATTCATAATTCAAGTTAGAGTCGTCTGAAAATGTTTGCGACAACATACGTGCTCCTTTACTTTTTTAGCAATGATCGGGATGATATGGGCCATATATACAACGGAAGAATTGCTACATTCGAAAGGGATTATCATTATACATCATGCGTTCGGAAATACGTAAACGTTTTGCACCTTAAACCTTCGCACTGGGCCTCCTTGGCGAATGTCGTGGTGCTCCCAATGAGGCGAGATGCAGATTGCCAATCTCTGAAAAAATAAGATTAAGAGTCATCCAATTGGTGGAAATGTAATTTCTCCGCATTCAAATGACAAGCATCTCATTTATTTTGATATATTGTATATGTTCTTGCAACCACCACGCCTACACTTACCTCTCTCCAGGTTCCTGGGGTGTTAGCTAGCTGGTATATTGCTACTATGGGGACCAAGACCATAGAAGCAGCCCCGATACACCACCCAAGAGCGTTGGCCCAACTGGGGTATATATAGATTCCGGCCTGGCTTGTGTACGTTAGAGGCGAGTACTTGATTACACTCAATACAACAACGACCTGCAAACGAAAGACAAGTAACAATATAGAAGTTAACCGATAGGTGGCACAATGTTCATTATAGAAACATACCAATTACTGCATCATATATACGTGAAATTGCATTTCTTTTGGATAAATGGATTCGACATGATAAAAAATGAACATAGCGCCACCCCCTAAAAGTTAATAACACCGAACGAAACTATTTTATAGATTAAAGATGCAAAAAGTACGAACACTTGGTACAGTGATATTGCGACCGCTTAAGTTCCAAGTCATGAGTGTACTATCCTAACTGAAAGCAACTCTATTAAAACCTGTTTGGTGACTTCAATGATATACTACAGCAGCCTCTTTAGATAGAATACTCTAATTTGCAGACATATAGGGTACCGAATAATTGGAAGACATGTGATCCAAGCAGTGAACGGTAAAATATGTTGGATTATTTTCTGTGGATGGATCTGCTTGATAGTGTTGCATTGGTCGATGTACACAGATATAATGATGTTTTACCTCGCCATCTATATAGGAGGATATTTGTTTTTGGTATTTTATTGACAGAGATGTGAGATGTTTTGCTCTATTCCACTGAAATTCTTGGAAAATCGATGGACTGAGATTTGATTAATTCTTAGTTGAACTTTGTCAATTTATTATAAATCTCAATAGAACAAAAAGTAAGGAGAGTTCTACCAATACCAATTGGATAGAGTTAAACTTACACTGAGGAACGTAGGGGTGATAAACTTCCAGCAGATCCTCCAGTAATAGCTTGGCTTAAAGCCAATCATCTCTTGAATGTCTTCACAGAACTGGTCGACTCCTGAAAAGAAAAAAATCTTTAGGACATTTTGGCGACCCATTACATCCCCCCAAAAAGAACATTTGAAAAAAATCTGAAAACATCCGTTGTCTCAGACACATAAAAAACGTTTGAAAAAGTTTTTTAAATTCATTTCAATTCTCTAATTAACTCATACACTTTGAAAAACTGCCAAGATAAAGACAAAAAACATCTTAAAATTGAAATATTAGGGCAGTGGACCATCAATCACAATCCAAAGAAAAGATCAATTGAAAACAATTCTGACGTTATTCTATTCATCGTCTCAGACACTTTAAAACTGCTCAGACATCATCAAATAGCAAGATGAGATGGTCAATGTTTTTTGGGAGGTAACTCCTAGCACCCCCTCTGGCACCCCCTCATCCTAAAAAATTCTTTTTAACTCATACACTTTGAAAGTGCCAAGAAATCGCAAAATAGCATCTAAAAATTGTAAAATTTTCTAGAGGGAGTTTTTAAATTTTTTGTTACTTTAACACTTTAAAAGTATCCAGAAATCACCAACATAATGGACAAAGTATCTTCGATTGGTCACATTTCTTAGAGTGAGGGGCTACAACTTCCAAAAACAAAAAATGATTTTTTGTCCAGAATAAGCATCTGTAAATATTATTGGCCCCCTCAAAATAAAACAATTAAAGTTCCATTTATAGACTTAAACTCATTTGAAATGAAAAGAAATCACCGAATGACATTTTGAGGTTGTTACCCCATTCACACCAAAATATTTTTGGGAGTTGAATTTGTTAATTCAAACACTTTAAATGTATGTTAAGGTTGATGCTAATGAAGTTGAAACAGTCAAAAGTCATTTAGACTTCTTGATTAAACACAAGATCAAACCAACAGAGAAACAAGAACATTTGCCTAAAAGGATGAGTCTGGGAATGAGTCTGGGTATCGACTTAGAAAATATTGAAAATTGTAATGTCTGAAAAACCAACTCAATCACACATATTATTAAACTTCAATATCTTATCCTTCTTCTGAGAGTACAAAAATATCAAATTGTATCACAATCAATGAAGAATATTGGCATCAAAGACGGTGCATATCGCTTTGTCAGAATTGAAATAAAAATCAATGGCAAATATTATATGATTTATTCATACAAAATGTTTGAAACATATCCCCCAAATCATTGCTTACTTTCTTTGTATAGACATCGGATGGGATTTCTGGATAAGTGAATTGGTATTTATCTGGGTAATCAAGGGATTATAGTCACTCAAAGTTACTGAGCATCCAGTTTTGAGACTTCAATTGTGTTGGTGAAGTTACACATATTTCAGTCAAATTCATGCTGAGCACAACATTTTGGTTTCAATTTTATAATCTCTATACATGACCCTGGTGATGAAGAGTCAGAATCAGTCAAAAAACCTAAACCGGAAAACTGTGCTCATTGTGAAAACTAAAAGTGAAGCAACTTTATTTCTGATATTTCTTACATCAAATGGCAGCCATCTTGTTTTTCCCCCTTCAAATTAAACTGGCGGGAAATTCAAAAATTTAAAAAAAATTTAATCCTTAAATATATTTCAAAAATATGATTTTCTTTTAAATTCTTCATGGGTCTTAAGTTATTTCTTCTTTGTAAGTCATACATGTTGCCATTGGTGTTTTTTCCATGATAATGACTATTTATTTTTTGTTAATATACTTATTCTGACTCTCAGCAGGGGGTGAATTATGCATCAAAACTCATGAAAAAGTAAATATACTTCATATTTCACATACATTTGACTGAGGGACCAAAAGGGCATATACCCGCACACATCCTTTATTGGATACCTAAATAACATAAAGACCCTTATAAATCTAGATTTATTGCTGGTTCTTGGGTTTGTTCTACTAAAAAGGTTTCTGGGCTATCGACTAGATGTCTCAAAGCTGTTTAAAATAATAGGGAGTCTTACTGTAATGCCATTTTTAGAAATTCTGGGGTTAACCATATGTGGATCTTTAAAAATTCGAAGGACCTTTTATCTAAATTTGATCAACCAAATTATTCAAAAGTTCAATGTATTTCCACGAGGGATTTTCCACACTTTACACATCAATTCCCCATAACAATTTGAAAGAGGAAATATTTGGTATCATTAAAAACACAATGAAAGGTAGTAGATTTAAATTTGTAAATTGTAGTTCAAATAGAGCTTTCTTTTCTAGTGATCAACATGAAAAGTATATTTCTTTTACTGCAATACAACTTTGTGAAGTCTTAGGCTTTTTGATCGATAACATTTATGTAAAGTTTGGAAATACAGTTTTAGGTCAAAATATAGGAATACCAATGGGGACAGATTGTGCTCCTCTTTTGGCAGACCTTTTTCTATTCTCGTATGAGATGATGATGAAAGATAAGACAATATTCCACATAGCCAAACTTTTTAATAAAACATACATATATATATAGATGACCTGTTGAGTTTGGACAACCCTGGATTTGAAGATTTTGTGAATGAGATATACCCTTCCGAGTTACAGTTAAAAAACACCAATGAATCGAACATGAATGCGCCTTATCTTGACATTCTCATTAACATTAAACAAGACAACAGTATATATTGTAAGTTGTATGATAAACGAGATGATTTCAACTTTGATGTTGTGAATTTTCCCCATTTAGACAGTAATATTCCATTAAACCCAGCATATGGGGTCTATGTATCCCAGCTTATTAGATATGGCAGGGCATACTCTAAATATTTCGATTTTAAGTCAAGACACAAAACTTTAGTGATCAAACTGTTGGGTCAAGGTTACACTTGTATAACGCTTAAGAAATACTTTCTGGGCTTTGCCGAAAAATAGAAATAATTAATTTCGAAGTTTCAAGTTTTACCACTTGAGATGCTGAAGGATGTAATAATTGTTTAATACATTTGCGCTGAATAGGAATACACTTAACTCCTAATTTGTAGATTATATTATTTCTGTATGTTTCATAGATTTTGTCAGTATTGATCGTACAAATTGATATTTTGATTGGCATACCTTTTTATCTCTGCAAAGACCTATTTTGAATTTCGGCCTCCATACTTTGGGTCTTTGCTTAGCTTAAGAGTCCTCATAAATCCTAATTAATTGGATGAGGTTTTAATGGTGTCAATCGAATTGTCATACATGTGCAGTTATTCTGTTTTGTATTTTCTAGTGACATCCACTAACTCACTCACTGTATGCGTATACATTGTCATGTTCTCATTATTTATGTAACTGTTGTACCATGTTCATTAATAAACACGCGTGCCAAGCGCTCTCATTTCTTGAAACTGAAGAAATGTGTGTTGTGTCTTATGAAAGAGAGTGATGAGTATAGAACTCACAATATTTTCACTTGGCACCTTTTGAAGTGGATCCTGACTATGGCATTAATGGTTGAGAAATAGGGATCGAAACCAGCCATAGTTTTCTCCTGATGACCATTGTGAATTATTGTGTTTTATGGATTATGGCGACGGCTTTTGTGAATGGATGTTGACCCTTTGAAACATGTATTGTAATAACTTCAGTATGAATGAAATGTCCCTTGGTCTTCTGGTCTTGGATTGTGATATTGGATCTTGAATGGTGGAGGGAAAGGGGGTATTAGACATTGTTTCTTTTCACGTTAGATCATGGTTTTGGGCTATATGGGGTCTGTTTTTCTTGACTGGTACGCACTTGCTACGAGTTTGCTTTTTACTTGCTTTTAGTTCACTCACAATTTTTGGTCATTTCTCTTTGGCATTTGTGCTTACATATTTAAAAGTGGCCAGGAACCACCAAATGACAAATTAAAATCATAAAAATGTCTGGCACCCCATCCCGCCCTGAAAGATAAAGCATTTACCAGGTCGTTCAATAAGTTCCAGGAAAAACACTCTCATTTTGTTAGTCTGTAGTATTTTTTATTGAAATTTACACAGTATGTGTAAAATGTATTTAAAATTTATGTATATAAATATCTTTATACAATATTTCATATTTATTAACTTATCCTTGATAACGTGACGTCATAAAAGGGTATGCGGGGCACTATTTTGATGTTAAAATTTCACAATTTTCAATTTATTCATCATATGTTCACATTTTTTGTATTTGTTTTATTTCAACTGAATAAACAGTCCTGTTGTCATGGTAACTATGTGACATCATATTACTGCTGTACAAGATGCAAAAATTCCTTGAATTGATGACATCACATATATTTGCATGACATCACACAACTAATGCATGACATCAGTCATTAGTCAGACACCAAAATGGCTACTGTCCTCTCGGATATTCCATCAGGACAATGCTCCAAGCCATAGGTCTAACTTGGTGCAGGACACCATTTCCACCAATCTCCAAATGGAACTGTAAGACCAGGCACCCTATTCACCTGATACGGCAGTATTAGATTTTGCTGTTTTCAACAGATTGAAGGCAGCTCTGAGGGGGATTCGCTTTGGCTCAGTTGATGATCTTAAAGCAGGTGTTCAGAATGCACTAAAGGAGAAGTTTCAAGCTGGGCTCTGAGACCATTACAAGCAATGGGTTCAGAGACAGAGGCTATGTATTCTTGAGCATTTAATGAAGATGACAGTGGAGGACTATGTGAATATATAATCTTACAAGCATACAAAGACATCAAAGGGTGTTAATTATATCGTAAAATGTGACTAAAACGTTTAGATTTAATGATCCAAACCGTAATACTAAACAGTACCCCGCATACCCTTTTGTGACGTCACATGATGTTGGATAACTTAAAAACTAGTTAGACGTTTTCAAATTAATTTAATACAATGATTTGAAAATAAATTGCACACATACTGTGAAAAAATAAACATCAGGCAAACCTCTCCCCTTACCCCCTAGCTAGCAAAAGTTTCATAAAATTGATTCTATTGATTCAAACCCTTTTTCTAATTTCCTTTTTAATTGACCCATGAACTTTAAATTAAGTGCCCAGAAACCACCAAAGAGCATATTAAAATCGTAAAATCTTCTAGAGGGAGTGGACCACCCTCGCTCAGATTTTTTAAAAAAAAATCTGAATTTATTTTATTTGTTGTCTCAGACACTTTAAAAGTGCCAAGACATTATCAAATAGCTAGCACCTTGAAATGGTCGTTTTACTTATTATCGAACACCTTAAAAGTGTTCATAAATCACTAACATAATCGATGCAGTACATTGGAATCGCCCTTTTCTTATGTTTCTCAAAATTGCTCATACTAACAAAATATGAAACAGAATTAAAGTGGGCCTAATTTAGAAGGTAAGCGAAAACCCCAATTCGATCCCGATCTCACTGCCGTTAATTTACGCAGTAAATATTAACCAGTTTATTATTTTAGTAAAAACCGCACCCCCTTAAGGAAAAGTGTCTGACGGGCCTGTTTGGACATCTATGTTAAAATTATTGTGTTGCTACCTTGAGCCATTTTTACATATTAACACTTATAGTATTCTTAAAAGAACTGCAAATATAACATGTATATAATGGACTCATCATAGAATCAGGACATTGCTATTGCCTGGGTAAGAATGGAAATATGACATATGAAATGGACTCACCATAGAATCAGGACACTGCTATTGCCTGGGTGAGAACTGCAAATATGACATATGAAATGAACTCACCATAGAATCAGAACACTGCTATTGCCTGGGTGAGAACTGCAAATATGACATATGAAATGGACTCACCATAGAACCAGGACATTGCTATTCGCTGGGCAAGAACTGCAAATATGACATATGAAATGGACTCACCATAGAACCAGGACATTGCTATTCGCTGGGCAAGAACTGCAAATATGACATATGAAATGGACTCACCATAGAATCAGGACATTGCTATTGCCTGGGTGAGAACTGCAAATATGACATATGAAATGGACTCACCATAGAATCAGGACATTGCTATTGCCTTGGCAAGAACTGCAAATATGACATATGAAATGGACACACCATAGAACCAGGACACTGCTATTGTCAGGATAAGAACTGCAAATATGACATATGAAATGGACTCACCATAGAACCAGGACACTGCTATTGCGTGAATAAGAACTGCAAATATGACATATGAAATGGACTCACCATAGAATCAGGACATTGCTATTGCCTGGGTGAGAACTGCAAATATGACATATGAAATGGACTCACCATAGAATCAGGACACTGCTATTGCCTGGGTAAGAACTGCAAATATGACATATAAAATGGACACACCATAGAACCAGGACACTGCTATTGTCAGGATAAGAACTGCAAATATGACATATGAAATGGACTCACCATAGAATCAGGACACTGCTATTGCCTTGGCAAGAACTGCAAATATGACATATGAAATGGACTCACCATAGAACCAGGACACTGCTATTGTCAGGATAAGAACTGCAAATATGACATATGAAATGGACACACCATAGAACCAGGACACTGCTATTGTCAGGATAAGAACTGCAAATATGACATATGAAATGGACTCACCATAGAATCAGGACACTGCTATTGCCTTGGCAAGAACTGCAAATATGACATATGAAATGGACTCACCATAGAATCAGGACACTGCTATTGCCTGGTTAAGAACTGCAAATATGACATATGAAATGGACTCACCATAGAACCAGGACATTGCTATTGCCTGAATAAGATTGCAAATGTGACATATAAAATGGACACACCATAGAATCAGGACATTGCTATTGCCTGGGTGAGAACTGCAAATATGACATATGAAATGGACTCACCATAGAATCAGGACATTGCTATTCGCTGGGCAAGAACTGCAAATATGACATATGAAATGGACTCACCATAGAACCAGGACATTGCTATTGCCTTGGCAAGAACTGCAAATATGACATATGAAATGGACTCACCATAGAACCAGGACACTGCTATTGCCTGGTTAAGAACTGCAAATATGACGTATGAAATGGACTCACCATAGAATCAGGACACTGCTATTGTCAGGATAAGAACTGCAAATATGACATATGAAATGGACTCACCATAGAATCAGGACACTGCTATTGCCTGGGTGAGAACTGCAAATATGACATATGAAATGAACTCACCATAGAATCAGGACACTGCTATTGCCTGGGTGAGAACTGCAAATATGACATATGAAATGGACTCACCATAGAACCAGGACATTGCTATTCGCTGGGCAAGAACTGCAAATATGACATATGAAATGGACTCACCATAGAATCAGGACATTGCTATTGCCTGGGTGAGAACTGCAAATATGACATATGAAATGGACTCACCATAGAATCAGAACACTGCTATTGCCTGGGTGAGAACTGCAAATATGACATATGAAATGGACTCACCATAGAATCAGGACACTGCTATTGCCTGGTTAAGAACTGCAAATGTGACATAAGAAATGAACTCACCATAGAATCAGGACACTGCTATTGCCTTGGCAAGAACTGCAAATATGACGTATGAAATGGACTTACCATAGAATCAGGACACTGCTATTGCCTGGGTAAGAACTGCAAATATGACATAAGAAATGAACTCACCATAGAACCAGGACACTGCTATTGCCTGGGTAAGAACTGCAAATATGACATATGAAATGGACTCACCATAGAATCAGGACACTGCTACTGCCTGAATAAGAATGCAAATGTGACATATAAAATGGACACACCATAGAACCAGGACACTGCTATTGTCAGGATAAGAACTGCAAATATGACATATGAAATGGACTCACCATAGAATCAGGACACTGCTATTGCCTGGTTAAGAACTGCAAATGTGACATAAGAAATGAACTCACCATAGAATCAGGACACTGCTATTGCCTGGGTAAGAACTGCAAATATGACATATGAAATGGACTCACCATAGAATCAGGACACTGCTATTGCCTGGTTAAGAACTGCAAATGTGACATAAGAAATGAACTCACCATAGAATCAGGACACTGCTATTGCCTGGGAAAGAACTGCAAATGTGACATAAGAAATGAACTCACCATAGAATCAGGACACTGCTATTGCCTGGGTAAGAACTGCAAATATGACATATGAAATGGACTCACCATAGAATCAGGACATTGCTATTGCCTGGGTGAGAACTGCAAATATGACATATGAAATGGACTCACCATAGAATCAGGACACTGCTATTGCCTGGGTAAGAACTGCAAATATGACATATGAAATGGACTCACCATAGAATCAGGACACTGCTATTGCCTGGGCAAGAACTGCAAATATGACATATGAAATGGACTCACCATAGAACCAGGACACTGCTATTGCCTGGGCAAGAACTGCAAATATAATGGATGTTCCGGCTGCAAATGTATCCAATATAGTGAACACATACATTCCGCCCTGGAAGAAAAATAAAATTCGAAACATAACATTTTTGCAGTTTCACATGTTGTACTTAATAGGAAAAAATAAAGGTTACTTTATAGTCCCAATATAAAATACAATTATTCGGATTATGAAATCACGGTATAATCCTGGATTTTGCTCACAATAACAAATTCGATTTAACAATACTTACGTAAGTGACATTCACTATACTAATCAGGAAAGCCCCAAGTATCACAATGGCAGTTATTATTTCTCGGCCCCATCTTTTATTTTTAAAGAACGGCTTAAACTCATCCTTGAATGCCGTCAGTAGAGATTCCATGCCTCCCATCTGAAATCAGTGAAATATTGAAAAACAAAATTGCAAACAATATAAGTCAACGGAAAAAGAACATTTCCATTTTCAATCGAAATGAATTTAAAAATTACTGCATCTTAATTCACCTTAAATTATGAAATTAATTGAATATAATTGATTTTGAATTCTTCGTTTTTATTTTAATGATTTACTGCATTCCGTTTTAGGGTCAAAAAGTATAAACCAGCACAGCAGTTAAAAACGGCTTTGTATAAAAAACCTCCTACCCACGCACCCTCTTACCCACGTACGTGGGTCCTGACTCAGTCTTTAAAGAGTTAAATCTTTAACATTTTTTAAACATTATTCTATCTCAATGTATGCTTAATTATGGATGAATTTATGTACCCATATGCCTTTATTTCTAGATCGGACATCTGTCTCGTCATAAAATAAAGCCAGCATTGCATAATGTTCATTTGAGCTATTTAAGTGTTGTTTTTGATATATCGAAGCGATTTTTTGTTGATCGGGCAGTCTTACAGTGTACAACCAATCTATTGCTTGGCGCAAATTCGACCAAGCGCATATATTTAGTATTTTTGTCAGTCATACTTTTAATAGTCCTATACCTTTTAATTTACCATAATGTATATAGAATTTTGTATAAATGACATTTACAATCTGCATGAGGTAACAGGAGGCACGGATTGCACTGAACGAAGGCTAGGAGATTGCTAATCAGCACTGATGTGTTATACAGGTAAGACTGCCCGATCAACAAAAAACATTTCGACATATCAAAAACATAAATCAAATAGCTCAAAAATAATGAACATTTATGCAATTCCGGCTTTATTTTATTTTACTAGAGAGATGTCAGACCTATAAATAAAGGCATATGGATGCATAAATTCATCTATAATTCAGGATAAACTGAGATTGAATAATTAACTCTTTAAAGACTCGGTCAGGACCCACGTACGTGTGTACGAGGGTACGTGGGTAGGAGGTTTTTTATACAAAGCCGTTAAAAACATATAATACATGTGTATAGTAGCACCGATTTTAAAACAAAATTTCGATAAAATCAATCGTTATCATTTATATCTGCTGGATCTTAATTCACATCAATATTTGATCAAATATCTCATTCCGCTTCGAAAATTACAACTAAGGGTCCAACCAAACATTCGAGTGCCGTTTTAAAAAGAGTGTTTTAAACATTGTACACACTCTAATCTTTGCTGCAACAATGCAATAAAACAGCACTGTGATATTCGTAGCTACTTACAGCGCTGTCCAGGCCAAGTGTGAGGAGCATGACGAAGAATACAATGGCCCATCCCTGAGCCCCGGGTAAAGTAGCTATTGCTTCTGGATAGACAATGAACACCAAACCAGGACCTGCAATTTAATATGTTTTGCATATATTTTATACGATTTATACAATAAACACCAAACAAGGACCTGCAATTTCATATTATGTTATGCATGTATTATATCCGATTTATACAACAAACCCCGAACCTGGACCTGCTATTTCATATGTTATGCCCAGGTGCTTGTCTTGAGGGTCGGGCAAGCCCTCCGATGTGTTTTTACTGATCTAAGTAGTGAAAGGGAGGCCAATGTTGATGCTTCCTGAAATTTGTACAACATGATTGTTAGATATATCCAGTAAAATATATGGAATCCTTTCAATAATCGACATGCTGATTCAAACAACACTACATAGCAAAATTACCCAAAATGGTAGCAATCCATCCACTAGTTGCTGAGAAATCTAAAGAATGTGTAAAGAAGTGATTAAAATGCAAAATACCGACAATTTTTACCTCAAGATTATTAGCTCTAGAGTCGATTACTTCGTAGTGTCCTTCATAGCTTTTATTGCGTCAAAATGAGAAGGATATGACCTCATAAATGTGTCAAAAAGTTAAACGTGTTTCGCAGTATTTTATACGATTTATACAATAAACATCAAACCTGGACCTGCAATTTCATATGCTTTGCAAGTATTTTACACGAGATATACAATAAACATCAAACCTGGACCTTCAATTTCATATGCTTTGCAAGTATTTTATACGAATTATACAATAAACACCAAACCTGGACTGAAATTTCATATGTTTTGCAAGTATTTTATACGAGGTATACAATAAAAACCAAACCAGGACCTGCAATTTCATATGCTTTGCAAGTATTTTATACGAGGTATACAATAAACACCAAACCAGGACCTGCAATTTCATATGTTTTGAAGTATGCGATACGATTTATACAATAAACACCAAACCAGGACCTGCAATTTCATATGCTTTGCAAGTATTTAATACGATTTATACAATAAACCCCAAACCAGGACCCGCAATTCCATATGTTTTGCAAGTATTTTATATGAGGTATACAATAAACACCAAACCAGGACCTGCAATTTCATATGTTTTGAAGTATTTTATACGATTTATACAATAAACCCCAAACCAGGACCTGCAATTTCATATGTTTTGCAAGTATTTTATACGAGGTATACAATTAACACCAAACCAGGACCTGCAATTTCATATGTTTTGAAGTATTTAATACGATTTATACAATAAACCCCAAACATGGACCTGCAATTTCAGAGATAATGCACATTTAATATGCGATTCATTACTAAAACACGCCCCGTCCCTCATTTACTATTGGATATGGAGTTTATCCAAACTGCTGTAACGAAATACCTCATGATATGTAAATAAGTTAGTTTTGAGTTTAACAACAAGCTATTATGACATATCAATTGGTCCAGAACTACTATAGCTTTGCGTGGTCAATTACATTTTAATTCGTCAAAGACCCAAGTTAAGATAATGTAAATGTAATTATAATGTCCTAGCAATAGTTCTTACCTTGTTTAGCCACATCTTCTATGTTAACGCCCTGTGTGGACGCCATATAGCCGAGGTAGGAGAATATGACGAACCCGGAAAAAAGACTAGTGAAGCTATTCACCCCTGCCGTCACAATGCAATCCCTAAAATATGACAATATATTTAAAATGCAATCATTACAATATGGCAATATCAAAATACAATCCTTACAATATGGTGATGTCACAATGCAATCCTTACAATGTGGTAATATCATAATGCAATCCCCTTGCAATATTGCGATGTCAAAATGCAATACTGGCAATATGGGAAATTATTATGATGCAATCGATAGCATATGGCAATACCATGATGCAATCGTTATCATATTGCAATATCATTATGCTATCCTTACAATGTGGTAATATCATTATGAAATCCTTACAATATGACAAAATCAAAATACAATCGTAACACTTTTGCGATCTTTACAACATGATTATACCACAGTGGAATCCCTACACTAGGCAATGTCACAATGCACTCCATACAATATAGCAATGACAAAATGCAACACCGACAATATTGCAATATCATTATAAAATCGTTACACTATTGCGATCTTTACAATATGGTTATACCACAGTGCAATTCCTACACTAGACAATGTCATAATGCACCCCATACAGTATGGCAATGTCAAAATTCAGTCCATACAATATGGTGCTATAACAATAGGAGGCAAACCACACTGCCATCTCTATATCGACTTTAGACATATTTGTGTTTACCTATAACAGTAGGAGGTAAACCGCATTGCTATCTTTATATCGACCTAAGACATATTTGTATTTACCTATAACAGTTGTTGTGGAATGTATTGTAGCTTGCGTATGCAATATGGACATATTTGTATTTACCTCTAAAGGTAGGAGGCAAACTGCACCGTTATCTTTATATCGACCTAAGACTTATTTGTATTTACCTATAACAGTTGTTGTGGAATGTATTGTAGCTTTCGTATGCAATATGGACATATTTGTATTTACCTCTAAAGGTAGGAGGCAAACTGCACTGTTATCTTTATATCGACCTAAGACATATTTGTATTTACCTATAACAGTTGTTGTGGAATGTATTGTAGCTTTCGTATGCAATATGGACATATTTGTGTTTACCTCTAAAGGTAGGAGGCAAACTGCACTGTTATCTTTATATCGACCTTAGACATATTTTTATCGCATGATCTGTAAAATGAAGCCCTCTGATTGGTCAGTTCTTGTGCTGTACCAATCTGTATTGCTACTGAGATTGTCCGCGTTGATCATCTCCGTCGCAATACAGAAAATATTGGTACGGAGGAGACAATCTCAGTAGCAATACAGAGGATAACACGATAAAAACGTTATTGAATGATTTGAAGTGCAAAACAGGATATATTCTGTCTCGATATTCTGTATTGCCACTCGACTTCGTCTCGTTCCAATACGGAATTTCTCGAACAGAATATATCCTGTATTGCACTTCAAATCATTCAATAACTTATAGTATTTACCTATAACAGTTGTTGTGGAATGTATTGTAGCTTTCGTATGCATATGGACATATTTGTATTTACCTTTAACAGTTGTTGTGGAATGTATTGTAGCTTTCGTATGCAATATGGACATATTTGTATTTACCTCTAAAGGTAGGAGGCAAACTGCACTGTTATCTTTATATCGACCTAAGACATATTTGTATTTACCTATAACAGTTGTTGTGGAATGTATTGTAGCTTGCGTATGCAATATGGACATATTTGTATTTACCTATAACAGTTGTTGTGGAATGTATTGTAGCTTGCGTATGCAATATGGACATATTTGTATTTACCTATAACAGTTGTTGTGGAATGTATTGTAGCTTTCGTATGCAATATGGACATATTTGTATTTACCTATAACTGTTGTTGTGGAATGTATTGTAGCTTGCGTATGCAATATGGACATATTTGTGTTTACCTATAACAGTTGTTGTGGAACGTATTGTAGCTGGCGTATGCAATATGGACGCCAAACCCGGCACCTACCGAGAAGAAAATCTGGTTAGCAGCATCTATCCAAACCTTAAAGTAAAACAAAGTAAAAATGATTGAATGAATAAACAATAAGAGCTCAGGGGAATCGATCCCGCGGACTCTAAACTTTGAAATTACATAACTTGACGTGCATATCTTGCTGATACAATCAAGACTTCCTACAGTAGTAGCTGACGCTGATTTCTTGGAAAATTTGAATTTCGTAAGAAATTTGACTTAACAATTGTTTGATAGTCATGTTCTTGTCTCTTGAACAATGGTAATTGATAAGAAATATTTTATCTTTATTTTTAAAGAGGCGGCACCTATGTAATCTAGGGATGTACGGTTGTTATAGAATACCGTTTCGCTGTCAAATAATTGTTTCACCTAACGCAGTTTGTTGAAAACATACACTTGCTTGCCAAATTTTAATTTTGTTCATCAGTGTCATATGTCAGGCACAATCTAACATCATATCCAACAGCGCCATCTCCCACCACCCCCTAACCCTACCCCCCCCCCATAATTCACACCTCGTCTCACATTGTTTATTCCCCTGTGTCCATAAAACACTTTGTCAATGGTTTCATTTCGTTTATATAAAACAAAGATCATCCGTTAATTCCTAAACACAACAAATATTTTTACCAATTCGGCACACGTCATGTTTGTGTTAAATATTAAGTAAGTGATCGGAACTGAAGGAAAACCTCAAACGGGATAATTAATAACGACTTCTGATTAAAATTATGTGATGGGGCACAGCAATAGGGGGTGCTGTTGGATTAAAAAATATATAATGCACCTAACATATATCACAAATGAACCTAACTTAGATCTATAAATCACTGTTGGATATAGAGCGCGATTGTGCCCGGCATAATGAACAAAATTAAAATTTGACAATCTCAAATAGTTCATTTTTAAAATAATTGCAATACTGGTGAAACGATGTTTGACAATAAAATGGTATTTAAAAAACATTTTTTATAACAACCTAAATTAGCTGAAATAACAAAGGTGGCGCTACTTCAAAAATATAAAAAATAATTCCTCCCACTTTGGATCCTTGCTCAAGTTAAAATGAAGCATGTTCACTAAACAATTGTCAAATCAAATACAATACGAAATTTTAGCAAGAAATCAGGGAAAGCTACTACTCCAGTGCGACCAAATGCTCATATACTCTTAGTAGAGCACGGTTTTAAAGCATGACGGTTACGCCACCTCTGAAAACGAGGTTGGACGGCTACGTTCACTGATTTATCCAATAAAATGGCCGCGATGGAAGAGAAAACTAAAGTTGGTGCATTATTTTCTACTACTGTGTATCAATGAACGGATGAACGATTTATGTAAGCGTCGCATTCGGTGACGGATTCAGTAATGTATATTTTGAACGTAGTCTTTGCAAATTATAACATGAAATAAGAGAAAAACTGTCGAGTTTGAAATTCAAAACTACACAAAAATTTAGTAATTTGTTTATTTTTGTTGTTAGGGCATGGTCTACATTGCCTAAAAACCTTGTGGTATATAGATGTAACCTACATACGATCATACAAAGCCAATTGAGCATTAGAAACCACCTAATATGTTCTACTCGAGCCATAATAATGTATTTTGAATTTGCGGTAACGTAAAAAATTGATGGAAGGTTACGCGAACCTGATTCAAATATGAAACCCCGATTTATTGTTGTTAATTTTGTCATCTTCATCAGTACTTGATCTTAAATCTTCTTTTGTCTCTTCATTGCTATCTTTTACACTTTCATCGGTTTCATAAATAAAGTAAGCGACAGTTTTTTCCCTTGAATAATAGAGGCTGAAACAAGAGCGTCTCTTGCGAGTTCTGAAAAAACATATAGGAAATTCAATATTCCATTTCTTACCCATTATAACATGGAAAGAGGCTATCAGATCTAGCAACCTTGACTTGATAGATGTACATGCACGTAACCGTCCGCTAAATATCTTATGTAGAATTAATACAATGCGTTACCGTCCATAGAATTCGATAGAAGTCATACGTAGTCGTCTAACGACATTACGTTTGAAACCTTATTTTTTTACGATATACACCACGTTCCTGTTCTGGATTTGTCATTTTATGCCTTGTTTATACACAGTTAACTTACAGTTAATATTTTGAGTGGTTCTGGGGCACATGTACTGAGAAAACACGAGAATGGACCAAAAATTATAAACTTGGATATTTCAGTCGGTACAGCGCAATTTTGTTTCTTGTAGACCACCTGGCAGATTCGATCCAGTCTTTATAACCATCCATATATACGTCACCGAATTGAACTAGTTTAAAAGGAAATCTTATAAGATAATTATCTATGAATATTGCCTACAGCCTTTCCCATCCGCCATTTTCGTTATCGTTACCGCAAAATTCTGCAAATCACCTTGACGTTACCGTCATGCTATAATACCGTGAAACTAGGGTGATATAAATGACCACCTCTGAACTAAGGTTCCAATTCACCATTGGAAAGCTGAACGGGTCTGCTTTAAGAATTTGGCAAACATTCCTATGACCAGTATGGATTATTTTTTTTTGAACCAAGATAGGCTGAGATAAGGGTCATTAAATTCAATGGCCCCATTATGCTACAAAATGCTTCAGAATTTTTGTTTTCGATCGAAATGAGATTTGATATTTGAAAATAGTGTGTAGTTCCTATACACCGTTAGAAGGCTAAAAGGGTCAGCTTTAAGAATCTGACCTCCATTTGAATTTTGAGTGAATGCAAAATTAGATATAAACCATTTCATCCCCAAGGAGTCATTTATTAATTTCATGAAAATAAATTCCATAATAACAAGTACCCATATTGCCAGAATGGATTATTTTTAGATTTACAATAATTATACTTTTGACAATATTTAAGAGTTTGAACCCAGATAGGCTGAGATATTGCAGTGACCAAATAATGCTACAAAATGCCTCAGATGCTTGTTTTCAGTAGAAACGATTTTTGATATTTGAAAGTAATATGTACTTTAATGTGTAATTTGGGCATTTAGGAATGTGAAATAAAATTACTAATCTTCTCCTGAGAATATTAAGATTGCAGCAAGCGTTAATTGACTTAACATGAGAATATGCACCTTTGACTTAACATTGTGTATTATCATATCCTTTTGACATTAATATTATATGTTTGAATTTACCCTTTTAAGTTTACTTATCAATAATATGATTAATTTCAAAGGAGCACTACCCGTAATCTAAACAAGTGGTATGGGTGATCTACTACAAATCAAGGTTGAGTGGACTCTATCAAGTCAAATATTTGAATTTGACCTCTATCGCCACAGGTTTTTTCTCATACAGCATCTTTTTATTTCAATCTAGTGTAAAATTACATCTCATCAAACATACATGATCTATAATATGGAGTTATTCCAATGAATAGTTTCCTAGGCATAACAGTCCATACAGGCATTCTGAAACCATATATTTTCACATACAACCACCCTCCCACCCTCATATAAACTAAGGAGAGAAGCAAAGTCACACAACTGGCCATGAATAGTGACACAAATATATCCTTTATGGAATTAAAGTACTTCCTTCTGTTTTATATGAAAAATCAATGAAAAATTATGATGTTTCCATGGATATTTGGGTGGTAATTTCAAAGAGAAAATGTAACCCTAACCACAAAATGTAAACATCATAATCATATGCTGTTGTAATGCTGAGACCACAAACTTTGTTGTTATAAACATTTAGATTGAATAAAGAAACCGATTGTCAAATATATTTTGATTGAAAAGGCATGCTTGATTTCTTAAGTTTACCCCTTGTGATAAAAGGGTTAGTATCTAATTTTGCATTCAGACAAAATTCAAATGGCCCTAACATTTTTAAACTTACATTAGGATCCCCGAGTCTTTCCAGTTTGGGCGTGATGAAGTACAGAATGCCATCCAGGGCACCTGGGAGAAGGACTCCTCTAATCAGCAGTATCAACATGACTATATAAGGCATGGTTGCCGTTACCCATACTACCTGTGGATAAAATGATTTGTATTATTAAGTACAAAATGCCATCCAGGGCACTTGGGAGAAGGACTCCTCTAATCAGCAGTATCAACATGACTATATAAGGCATGGTTGCCGTTACCCATACTACCTGTGGATAAAATTGTTTGTATTATTAAGTACAGAATGCCATCCAGGGCACTTGGGAGAAGGACTCCTCTAATCAGCAGTATCAACATGACTATATAAGGCATGGTTGCCGTTACCCATACTACCTGTGGATAAAATGGTTTGTATTATTAAGTACAGAATGCCATCCAGGGCACCTGGGAGAAGGACTCCTCTAATCAGCAGTATTAACATGACTATATAAGGCATGGTTGCCGTTACCCATACTACCTGTGAATAAAATGGTTTGTATTATTAAGTACAGAATGCCATCCAAGGCACCTGGGAGAAGGACTCCTCTAATCAGCAGTATCAACATGACTATATAAGGCATGGTTGCCGTTACCCATACTACCTGTGAATAAAATGGTTTGTATTATTAAGTACAGAATGCCATCCAGGGCACCTGGGAGAAGGACTCCTCTAATCAACAGTATCAACATGACTATATAAGGCATGGTTGCCGTTACCCATACTACCTGTGGATAAAATGATTTGTATTATTAAGTACAGAATGCCATCCAGGGCACCTGGGAGAAGGACTCCTCTAATCAGGAGTATCAACATGACTATATAAGGCATGGTTGCCGTTACCCATACTACCTGTGGATAAAATGGTTTGTATTATTAAGAACAGAATGCCATCCAGGGCACCTGGGAGAAGGACTCCTCTAATCAGCAGTATTAACATGACTATATAAGGCATGGTTGCCGTTACCCATACTACCTGTGGATAAAATGGTTTGTATTATTAAGTACAGAATGCCATCCAGGGCACCTTGGAGAAGGACTCCTCTAATCAGCAGTATCAACATGACTATATAAGGCATGGTTGCCGTTACCCATACTACCTGTGGATAAAATTGTTTGTATTATTAAGTACAAAATGCCATCCAGGGCACTTGGGAGAAGGACTCCTCTAATCAGCAGTATCAACATGACTATATAAGGCATGGTTGCCGTTACCCATTCTACCTGTGGATAAAATTGTTTGTATTATTAAGTACAGAATGCCATCCAGGGCACTTGGGAGAAGGACTCCTCTAATCAGCAGTATCAACATGACTATATAAGGCATGGTTGCCGTTACCCATACTACCTGTGGATAAAATTGTTTGTATTATTAGGTACAAAATGCCGTCCGGGGTACTTCACCAGGTGAATGTGCATCTTTACAGTTGTCAAAGTAGACGATGAACACACAAACCAGCCACCGCCAGCATTAAATGAGGATTAATGTACCTTACAAGGGGTATTGACGCATTTCCAGATGGAAAAGTAAAGGATCGGATGGTGAACACACACACAATACATGTCACTAAAGGAGGATTTATATGACAGAGGAATGGACGCGTTTACAGAGGGCAAAGTAAAGGATGGTGAACACACACACAATATATAGCACTTAAGGAGGATTTATATAACATAAGAATGGACGCCTTTACAAAGGGCAAAGTAAAGGATGGTGAACACACACACAATATATAGCACTTAAGGAGGATTTATATAACATAAGAATGGACGCCTTTACAAAGGGCAAAGTAAAGGATGGTGAAAACACACACAATATATAGCACTTAAGGAGGATTTATATAACATAAGAATGGACGCCTTTACAACGGGCAAAGTAAAGGATGGTGAACACACACACAATATATAGCACTTAAGGAGGATTTATATAACATAGGAATGGACGCTTTTACAGAGGGCAAAGTAAATAATGATGAACATACATATCAAACTTAGCACTTAAGAAGGATTTTGACGCCTTGAGGGGAATAGAAAGGACGATGCATACATAAGACGGATTAAATGAATAAACACAAAGAGCACACGCGCATCGAACTCGCAACCTCGTGGTTATGGCGCCCAATCGCCTAGCTCGAACGAGCTGGCACACCAGAGGGAGCACAGCGGACATTTTCTACACACACACACTGCTCGACTGTCCTTAAGAACCAAGAGCAGGTTAATACCTCTGCAACTGAAAGCTCAGACAGTGATCATAAATGAATAAACACAAGGAGCACACGCACCTCGAACTCGCAACCTCGTGGTTATGGCGCCCAATCGTAGATTAAGATCTAACCACTGAAAGGGGATGAAAAATTACAAACAACATGTTCAACTTAACTTCTAATTTATTCAATATGATCTAAAATACATTATCTCCAAAAATATCCACGATATGATAATTCGATCCACAAATTGAACAATATGAAATGATTAAGAGTGCAACAATTGTAGAAGGTGTTTAAATACTCCCAAATGAAAAAAATGTAACAATAAAAAAATAATAATGCACTAATTCCTGGAATTTAGTTTACACTTTAGGTATTTCAGAACAAAGACATAACAGGAAATTATATGAGCCAAAAATATTCTAAAATGGATGAATAATGAATGTACACATCAAGCACAGCACTAAAGAAGGATTACCATACCTTACCAGATGAATTGACGCCTTTTCATCGTACAAAGTAAAGGACGATGAGCACGCACATCAAGCACAAACCTAAAGGAGGATTACTATACCTTCCCGGATGAATGGACGCCTTTCTATAGAGCAAAGTAAAGGACGATGAGCACGCACATCAAGCACGAACCTAAAGGAGGATTACTATACCTTCCCGGATGAATGGACGCCTTTCAATAGGGCAAAGTAAAGGACGATGAACACGCACCTAAAGGAGGATTACTATACTTTCCCAGATGAATGGACGCCTTTCCATAGGGCAAAGTAAAGGACGATGAGCACGCATATCAAACACAAACCTAAAGGAGGATTACTATACCTTCCCAGATGAATGGACGCCTTTTCATCGTGCAAAGTAAAGGACGATGAGCACGCACATCAAGCACAAACCTAAAGGAGGATTACTATACCTTCCCGGATGAATGGACGCCTTTCTATAGAGCAAAGTAAAGGACGATGAGCACGCACATCAAGCACGAACCTAAAGGAGGATTACTATACCTTCCCGGATGAATGGACGCCTTTCCATCGTGCAAAGTAAAGGACGATAAGCACGCATATCAAACACAAACCTAAAGGAGGATTACTATACCTTCCCAGATGAATGGACGCCTTTCCGCAGGGCAAAGTAAAGGACGATGAGCACGCACATCAAGCACGAACCTAAAGGAGGATTACTATACCTTCCCAGATGAATGGACGCCTTTCCGCAGGGCAAAGTAAAGGACGATGAGCACACACATCAAGCATGAACCTAAAGGAGGATTACTATACCTTCCCAGATGAATGGACGCCTTTCCGCAGGGCAAAGTAAAGGACGATGAGCACACACATCAAGCAGGAACCTAAAGGAGGATTACTATACCTTCCCAGATGAATGGACGCCTTTCCGCAGGGCAAAGTAAAGGACGATGAGCACGCACATCAAGCACAAACCTAAAGGAGGATTACTATACCTTCCCAGATGAATGGACGCCTTTCCATCGTGCAAAGTAAAGGACGATGAGCACACACATCAAGCACAAACCTAAAGGAGGATTACTATACTTTCCCAGATGAATGGACGCCTTTCCATCGTGCAAAGTAAAGGACGATGAGCACACACATCAAGCACGAACCTAAAGGAGGATTACTATACCTTCCCAGATGAATGGACGCCTTTCCGCAGGGCAAAGTAAAGAACGATGAACACACACATCAAGCACGAACCTAAAGAAGGATAACTATATCTTCCCAGATGAATGGACGCCTTTCCGCAGGGCAAAGAAAAGGACGATGAGCACGCACCTAAAGGAGGATTACTATACCTTCCCAGATGAATGGACGCCTTTCCGCAGGGCAAAGTAAAGGACGATGAACACGCACCTAAAGGAGGATAACTATACCTTCCCGGATGAATGGACGCCTTTCCGCAGGGCAAAGAAAAGGACGATGAACACGCACCTAAAGGAGGATTACTATACCTTCCCAGATGAATGGACGCCTTTCCGCAGGGCAAAGTAAAGGACGATGAGCACACACATCAAGCACGAACCTAAAGGAGGATTACTATACTTTCCAAGATGAATGGACGCCTTTTCATCGTACAAAGTAAAGGACGATGAGCACACACATCAAGCACGAACCTAAAGGAGGATTACTATACTTTCCCAGATGAATGGACGCCTTTTCATCGTGCAAAGTAAAGGACGATGAGCACACACATCAAGCACGAACCTAAAGGAGGATTACTATACCTTCCCAGATGAATGGACGCCCTTCCATAGGGCAAAGTAAAGGACGATGAACACACACATCAAGCACAGCACTAACTGCCACCTCGGGGCACCAAGATCATCTACGCCAGTACTTTTGTGGAGCTGAAGAACACCTCTTCTGAAAATGAAAAATGAATATATTTTAAAATATTTAAATAGTATAAATCAATATATATCATGGACATTCATTGAATCAATTTATACTAGTATGGTTATTTAATCATTTAATTTACAATAAATACACAGGTTCTCATAGATTTGTAGTACTGGGAACTCCACGAAATAGTATAAATTCTAAGAAAAGTGACTTGAGCTAAATATTTTATGGATATATCAATGCACTCCATTAATGAAATGTTTTTAACTTACAAACATTGCAAAATTATTAACATCAGATTACTAAAAGCAATATATTCCCAAGTAGTCCTTCGCCGGAGAATTGAATTGTTACCGTTGGATGTATGATTTATGGAACAGAATATATTTAGTTATTCATTTTTTAGATTCTAGTTCTCGTAAGATATGATAATGGTATGAAATATTTCCCTTTGGGCGCACGTATATTATACGATTTAGCCCAGAAAAATCGTTAAATTTTATTCTAACATTTCTCCTTTCATATTTTGAAAGGGATCTAGATAAAAAGGATAACATTGAAGAATAAAATAAGAGAATGCCAATGTTCACAAATATCATGTTTCTAAAAGATTGTAATCTATACTTTAACTTCTGTTTTTGTTTATTGTTGTTCTAGAATATATTTATACAGTATAGTTTTTGATCTACATACTCAAAGTATTCGGTGGCACTAGAAGACCCATTCAGGGTTGCGTTCGGACTAGAAGTAGTAAGGTTAGTAATGTTACGAGGATTCGTAAAACATCGGGCTGAATTGAAGTCATTGTCGCAGCCTGTCCAAGGAAGAGTGCTTGTGAATGAGGAAAACAGAAAATAGAACGCCCATGCGATAATGACGTTGTAGTACAATGCCACTAAATATGAAATGAGCACTACAGCACATCCCGCACCTGAAACGAAAAATTGAAAGATTTTAATTTTAAAATGAGTTCACAATTTCATGGGGCATGGGGCTTTCATATTATTTAATAATCATAAATGTTATTCAAAACAATCATCTTCTAAAAGTTGTACGAAATGCATTAAGCTGCTTGATTAAACCAGTTAAAGCACGTGCGGAGCTCGTTGAGTCAACGGCCCTGTACCACCTCGTATGGGCCTCGTTACGAGTCTCGTAATTGTAATTTTCGAGCCTCGGAAGAACTTGTAATTACAAGGCCCGTAATAGCTCGTAGTTTTCGACCCCGTACTTGACCGTTCGGTGCCTGTGACGAGCCCCGTAATAAATCGTAAATTTGATCCCCGTACTTGCTTGTACGGTGGTTGTTACGAGGCCCGTAATAGTTCGTAATTGTCGAGCCTTGTAATTGCTTGTGCGATGCCCGTAAGAAGGCCCGCAACACTGGCTTGTAATTGTCGAGCCTGGTAATTGCCTGTTCGATGCCCGTAAGAAGGCCCGTAATGGCTCGTAATTTTCGGGCACTGTACTTGCCCGTATGGGGCTCGTAATGAGAACTCGCTACCGAAACAAATTGAAATGTGATGTAGATAAATATTTTTATCGAATGTATATGAAAAATGCTTGAATTGATCAAAAATAAATAGCAAATTGTAACAAACAGATACGTGAGTGATATAGCATGACATAAAGTATTTTATTGTGCTGTAAAAGTGTCCAATAACCGGCCTTGTACGAGCCTCGAAACTACGAACCTCGTACATGCTCGCAGGGACCTAAAAAAACAATTACGAGCATTATACGAGCTAGTGCGGGCTTCAAAAACGAGTTCCCACGAGCCCGTACGAGGATCGAGCTCCTTTTTGCCCGGAATGACTCGTAATTCTCGAGGCTCGTACGAGGTCGTACGGGCTCGATGTAATTTGCATGTGTAATGGCTAGGGTGGCTAAGTCTTGTTCATCTGGATTTGGATTACCTATGACATGATAACATTTTCTGCGAAGTTTTACTACCCAACTCCAATGGGAAATTTGCCCACAGGGCCTTTAAAAATGACGCAGTTTTGCGTTCTTCGCTGTTTTACTATGTTTTTACCACTTTTAAACAGTGCTTGTAACCTTTCATATATATATACCCTAATCACGAGTTACCATAGTAACCATATTTTTTATCAAAGTTGAAAATAGTCAACTAAATTTGGCAATCTTTTTCTAGACTGTATTTTATTCCTCCTGTAAATCTGAACGAAAGGGGCACACAACTCATAGTTCGAGAGCGATTTCCTCAGATTTTATGGATCGACCTTGTACATCAGATTCATTAAAATATTTACCTTTAAATAATGGAACTATCTTCCAAACACTTATTGCCCCTTCCCTGTGGAACTGGCCGAGACTCAACTCCATCATGAACATGGGAAGGGCGCCAAACACCAGCATGAGGAAATATGGAATGAGAAATGCACCTGCAAGTAAAAAAATGGTGGTATCATCATAATTCTGTTACTACAGTGCTCATGAAATGCATTAACATGCAAAAAGCAAAGATATTCTTTAAGTAATTTAAAAACACGTTTTTTCTCAAATTCGAGAAGAGATCGCGTTTCATAAATTCTTGGCGATTGACTGTTTTTTCTTTAAAAAATTATAACATAGTCGATGGCGAAATGAAGCATATTGGAAAGAAAATTCAATAAACAGGATCTTAAGAGGTTCTGGACAAATCATTTGATTCTGGACTTGTCATATTTTTTTTTCAACGAAATCACATCCAAGGGTTGAATTTTTATTAGCTATTTAGAGAGTGAGTCCTGCCTAGTATTAATTTCAATAAAAAAAGTTAAAATAGAACCCTATTTGAGAGTCAATCTAATACTTACATTACATTGATAAATTAAGGCAAATCCTGTTTAAAGTGCATTTTTTATGAAATATTATCCAGCAAGTATTTAGATGAAACGGCCTTATTTAAATACAAATCATAACATGATGATATTTTTCATGAAACATTTTTCATTTTTAATTTAGGTAAAAACCCTTACATGATGATGTGTTTTCATAACTTCTGTCATAAAATGCCATCAAGGGGTGAAGATAAAATGATCGAATTTAAGTGATTTAAGGATCACGAGAATATGTTTTCTTGGACATTTTCTATGAAATCCCATCCAATGGTCAAGGTAAAATTTTGATTTTGATTTGGTATTAGGTCACGTGTTCCAAAGATCCATATAAGGCCCATAGAACCATATAGGAACGTCATTTTAAATGTCACGTGATAGATCCATATAAGGCTTTTAGAACCATGTCGGGAAAGATGAGGGGAAGCCCCTGACACCTGTTTCACGATTTTATCCGAACGTTGTTCGGATCATTTCGGTTTTTATGCACTTCATTATTGTACCAAAGTTTGCCGATTCGATTCGTCGTATTTCGGAATCCTGGTGACAATTTTATACTCCATTTGGAGTATTTTTGATCTACTTCTTATGACGAAAATTCCCGAACCTTGTTAGGATTAATCCGGATTTTCTGACCTACTTTATCTTCCGAGATTTCACGAGTTAACATTCGTCTCATTTCGGAATCCTGGTGACAATTTTATACTCCATTGGAGTATTTTTGATCTACTTCTTATGACGAAAATTCCCGAACCTAGTTCGGATTAAACCGGATTTTCTGACCTACCTTATCTACCGAGATTTAACGAGTTACATTCGTCTCATTTCGGAATCCTGGTGACAATTTTATACTCCATTGGAGTATTTTTGATCTACTTTTTCTGGATTTTGCCCTACTTCTTATATCTTGACAACAAGCAAATCAAAAAGTTCGACATGAACGGGTCTCGATCAACTAACTTAGAGCGTGGGAGCCAGGCACGCTAACCATGAGGCCAACGTGCTACCGATATGAAAGAACAAAAGTATTATATATTTATACCGAGCGTCAATTCAAAATGATCCTCACTTTTGACTCCACTTAAATACGACTCGTCAGATGTATCCAGAATAGGTGAACGCCTATGGCGCTAGTGAATAACCAAGTCCCAGGTGAGTGGTTCGTATCCCTCCGTGATATACTATTTTTGTTTTATTAAATACGACAGAAAGGAGCAAGGTGTAGTTTGAAAACAAGACGTTAGTTTGTTTCAAAACAGTTTGGAAACATTAAACTCTGATAATTTAAGATTTTCCACTCCTGAAGGGCCTCTAGATCTATGAAATTCATTAATCCACTCAGTAAAAATACGATTTCTCTGCAACCTGATGTCCAATCAAGATCATTCAAATATATATGTGTTCCTGACACGTTTGGGCGTCCGGGAATAGCAAGGTCTACACAAAGTTTGCACGCGAAATTGACGTAATTCATGACTGAAATCAGGAAGACAAAATTTGAGATTCACAAACAAAATTGCTTGTGAAAACTATTTACAAAAGTGTTCCAGAGACTCTAATCTACTTGGCTAAGATTTTATTTGAAGATACATTGCCTTATTAAGCAGGTAGAGGGGCATACAGAATACGGAAGCAAATGCTATGTTGAAAATTTTCAATTTTTTCAATTTGAACCTGTTATTACAATGTTTTATATGGGGATTATATGTACTTTACTTGTTTACATGAACGTAAATCATTACATGAAATCTGCAATCTTCCGGGTTTAATCTGGGTTTGTATTGTCTTATTGGGGCTTTTCGACTTTAAAACAAACCCTACCTAAATGGATTGTGTCTCGGGAACGTTTTTGTAAATAGTTATAAACAATTCTGAAAGAATATCACATATTTTTGTCTTCCCGATTTCAGTCATGAATTACGTCAATGTTTCGTGCAAACATTGGGTAGACGTTGTCATAACCGGATGCCAGAACGTGTCAGGAACATATAGATACTCGAATGATGTTGATTGAACATCAGGGTGCAGAGAAATCGTAATTTTACTGAGTGGCTTCACGAAAAAATAAGCAGCACTCCAGGCCACCTTAAATACAACTCGTCAGTTGTATCCAGTTGGAATCCCAGCGTATTTTTATTTTTTTTTAAATTATATGGTTGTGCTTTGATTTTACGCTGAAAACATTTATAACTACGTCAACTTTATATTAAAACATTTATTATCTTTTCAGTTGTATTAAAATGTAAAATATGATATATGTCAGCTTATTGCTTTCTGGGGAACAGTCAAGGTTTAAATTTGGTACAATGAATCGGACACTCATGTAAATCGACATGGTTATAACATTGAGCTCAATGCAGTAAATTAGTTATTTCTATGAATCACAGCGGGATTGGTTTCATTTTATATGATTGCCAACTCTGGCGGTATTTTTGTAAATGCTTTTGACCGCGGTAAATGTGAAACTGATACAGTTGTGTATTATTCAATTGTTTTATGTCTTGGTCACATTTGCTCCGATTTTCACTACAGCGCCCGGCCGATTGAGTATTGTGTTCAGAAATGTATTCAATTTTGAACAAAATACTCGCAGCAAATGTGATCCAGGCATTACACAGCGGTATTTCGAACATACTATTGTTGCATAACCACGACCCAGCCAACTTTAAAATCATACTCCTTATTTAAATCCAACGATAAGAGCTCATGGAAAGTATACATTTTAACTTTTATACATCTTTACAAATACTAGAAATCTACATGTTCGAGTGGATCACGAAGGGTCCCCACATAGCAGCAGTCTCCATAAAATGCAAAATACCTGTATTGATAAATTGACTTTGACTGATTTTTTGAATTGAGATGAACTTGTTGAAACCTCGTGAAACGCCAGATACTATACTAGTACCTAGATGTGACCTTGAAATAATGTTGGCCAATACACATTGACTTTGACCTTAGGTCACCTAATCATGTGTCGTCAAGGGTCATTGTAGCCCTCAAGGTCCTTACAACGCCAAATACTTAGATATTAATTTTTGATCTTGAAACAAACTTGACTAGTAACTTTGGCCTTGAACTCAGTTCACCTAATCGTTGGTTGCCAAGGGTCACAGCAGCCCAAAGGACTTTAAATCACCAAATACCTAGATATTGATATTTTACATAGGAATGACCTTGACTTCAGTTCACCTTATCATGCCTCATCAAGGGTCGAATCTCAGACCGAGGGTAAAAAACGCGTAAATCAAGATATTGACATTTTAAAGAGAGAATCAGATCTAGCAAGCAGTCTAACAAAAAAAGTTTCAGTTTTAGAATATTTCTGGCTTATGTCATTCCTTTTCATGTCTATTTTCTAAAAATATAATCCCAAAAGTGCACACTTTATTTCAGGAAAACTAAAGAGTTTACAACAATGACTTTTGTATATTTCTTCTATAAGAATGGTTACTTATTATTTACAATTTTGCACTTTTAATCTATTATAACTTCATCAATTTCTAACATATCGTAAATATTTTGTGAGATATTGTATTTGAGATTGTAAGGAATAGTGTACGTCAGTTGTACACGTTGCTTGTAATTTTGTCACCTCCATATATCTGATTCTGCCTTTAACCTAGAATGACTTTGACCTCTGACCTTAGTAGAACGCTCACTGGCCCATCAAGTATGAGGGCAAAAGGAGATGTCGAGACCTACTATGAAGCATGTTCGGTCTGTCCGTCATTTTGTCTGTCTGTCGGGACATCTCCTTCTACACCATTTAACCTTAGTAAGTTGGTCTCCGAAGGTCAGAGTTAAGTTCATTCAAAGGTAAACGATCAATGTCTAGGTATTTGGCGTTTGATGATACTATGGCCATTGGCGAATTATGATTAGATGAACCGAGGTCAATATTAATGTTTCTTGTACAAGGTCATCCCAAGGTCAAAGATAAATATTTAGGTATTTTACGTTTCAAGACCTTTGGACAAATTCGATTCAATTCAAGAATCGGTCAAGGTCAAAAAATCAATATACAGGTATTTTGTATTTTTTTGTAAAGATGTATTAAAGTTAAAATGTAAACAGAGATAAAATAGGTTAGCTCCTATCGTTTCCTTGTGTATACGTTTATGTCTCTGCGTAATAACGCAGATGCAAGCAGGTAGTTACCAGTCTCACCACAAGGTGGCTTGTTCGGGTCAGATAGCATGGTGGGTATGGTAGAAAGTTCCCTTTAACTTAAAGTACATCTGTTTTCGTGGTTCAATTTTCATATCACCCTTAAAATGTATCTAATAGCAATGCAAATTAAAATATGTCCAGTGAAAGAAAATGCAAAACAAGAATAGATATTTCACTTTTTGTGATTTTGTAACAATGGGGTTATTTTTTGTATATGTAACATGGTCATTTTCACATTTTATATTATTACTGTTCATATTAATCAATCCCTATTCATCTCAATATAACAGGTCCCTAAGTAGGTTGTTTGCAGTTTTACTCTTTTAATACCATGTTCACTTTTCACCTTTTATTGAAACCAGTTATTCAACTATGCAAACTGTGTCAGTTTT